CAGGTTCTTTCTACTCATCAAGGCGACGAGGCATCTAGTTCATTCCATTCTTCAACTTCTTGGTTTTTATACTCCATACAGACAAGTCCCCAAGATTTGACTGTAATAGTCTTGTTTAGGTAGGGCTTAGCTTGGCATGTTGACGGCTGGTAGAATTGACTCTTCGAGACGTCATTTCTAAGTCCGTTCTGTACTGCCGTGCTTTCATTCTTTATGTAGTATTTAGCTACCAGCGCGAAGCCTCCACTGTAGCTCTCTGTACCGCTTGTAGATTGCATAAACTGATGTAAAATCGCAAAATCTATGGGTAGCCTGATACCAGGCATATCAATGTCTTCCTCTGTGTCCAATGAATAATAGCCCTGCTCATCAGAGACTGGAAAGAGTGTTGAGTTCTTGATGAAAGAGCTAGGAGATGATGTGGTTATACATCCCTCTTGACTTTTCAAGTGTTGCAAATTGTGATCCTCTATGCAGTCTTCCTTGTTCTCATAGTGTTGGATGAGTTCTTTGGTATTGGCAAGGTTGCTCCTCTTGACCCAGGTGGCCTCCTCTACTGGATATCCTTTCCATTTGACCAAATATTATGTTATGGTCCTCCGGTTGCATCCTCAACTGATAATATGGTCATGATCCTGAAATAGTTCCTCTACCTTGTATTCTTCTTCACCATCCATGAGCTCCGGCTTGGGTGGCAGTGGTTTTTCCTAGTTGGGAAACTCTGGGGGGATGTGCAGAGTTAGGTACTGCTCGTTGAACTTGTTGTGGATCCTCCACCCTGGCAGTAGCTTTAGCTTGTATGCAGAGGGTCCCTTCTTGGAGATTATCTCGAAGGGGCCAAGGCATTTGTCATCTAGCTTTTTTGTTGGTCATGGGAGGTGAAGGTTGGTTGAGTCCAACCAGACTTTATCGCCTGGTTGGTACTCCTGCACAGGACGAGTGTGTTTGTTGTAAGCCTTTTTCATAACTTTTGCAGCTTTATTCAGAGAGTGTTCCACCTGTTTGCATACTCTTTGAAGGCTTTTGACAAAGTCAGTTACCAATGGTGTTTTTGACGGCCTCACCGCAGTTGGGCAAATTTCTCCATCTCATCCAAAGACAAGTTTGATGGAGGAAAAGCCTATTGCAGAATGTTGGTGGTTGTTGTGAGCAAATGCTGCCCACTGCAGCCATTCGCTCCAATTGTCCTGTTTGTGGTTAATAAAGACTCAAAGGTATTTTTCAAGTTCTTGGTTAACCTGCTCTGTCTGTCCATCCATCTGTGGGTGATAGGCCATTGATGGGTTTCCTTGAATATTCATCATTGTGTATAGTTTGGTGATGAATTTCAAAATGAATTGGGGTCTCCAGTCTGAGATAACTTTAGAGAGGGTGATCCCAAATCGACAGATAATCTTGTCACATAGGGTTTTAGCCCACCCACTTGACGAGAGTTCCTTTGTGCATGGAATCAGCACAATGTATGTCGAGAATCAGTCTATGACAACTAGTACCATGTCGTAGCCCTTGGATTCTGGAAATCCAGTAATCATGTCAACCGAAATGTGTTTCCAGGGTTGAGATAGTACAGCATTAGGATGTAGTGGAGCTGCCTTCCACTGCATGTCGGTCTTCATCCTTTGACATGCTTCGCATCCTCATATGTAGGTTTTCACATCCTTTCACAACCTGGGCCACCAGTATTCTCTCAAGACCAATTCCTTGGCCTTGTTGATACCTGGGTGCCCTGCAGAGATGTGATCATGATAGTGGGAGATAAGTTCTCCCTGTAGTGTGTGGTCATGAGGGATATAGATATGTCTGTCATAAAAGAGTAGGTGGTTCCTTTCGAAGACTCCCTTCTCATGGTTGAGACTTGAAGCAATCCCTCAGTCCCACCATTGGTGATCGCTCATTGTTCTCCTGATCTTGCCATGGATTTTCTCCTCAGTTGGCATTATCAGGGCATGGAAGAATTCTGGTTTCAAGGGGACAATATTGTCATTGTCCTTCTTGCCTTAGTCATGGTCAGCCTTCCTATTGAATGCTCCTGGTTTATGGTTGAGTGTGAAGTGGTACTCTGCTAACATTGGGATGGTAGTCTTTGTTAGTGAAGAATGAAGAGATTCTGATAAAGATGTTAGGAGCATTGTTGTAGGCAAACTCTGCAATGGGTAGTAAGATATCTCAATTGTCTTGTTGGTAGGAGCAGTAGATGCAAATGTACTGTTCCAGAGTTTGGTTAGCACATTCAGTTTGTCCATCAGCCTCTGGATGGTATCTGGAAGTGAAGTGAAGTTCCATATCCAAGGCTTTAGCGAGAGTGCATGTGAACTGGGAGACAAATTCAGAGCTGTGGTCAGAGGTTATATGATCGGGAATACCATGCTTAGTGAACACATGGGTGACAAATAACTGGGCAAGCTCCTCAGAGTTGATGGTGTCATGGGAAGGAATGAAAATTGCTTGCTTGTGCAGTTGACAACCACAAGGATAGCAGTGAATCTGTTAGAATCCAGTAGTTGTTCAATGAAGTCTATAAAAATGGAATCCCACAGGCATTCCAGGACTAGCAAAGGTTTGAGTAAGCCAAATGGATAGTGTCTAGGTGCTTTGTTACATCCACAGGTAGTGCAAGATTTAATGTAGTGGCAAATGTATTCACACATCTGTGGCCAGATGTAATTTCATTGGACAAGTTCAAGAGTCTGGTTTTGGCTGAAATGACCTGCCAAGATGTGGTTGTGATTGTTTTGGAGGATACAAAGATGGAGATCATTGGAGTCCAGGACATAGATGTGACTATCAAGACTTAGTAGTCCTGATTCATCCACAGACCAACAAGATGAATTGAAGGGAGAGGATGTGAGTCGAAGGCCTTAAACGGCAGTGAGGTCTGATGGCTGTGTGTTCTTGATATCAGAATAGAGCTTGTCAATATCCATGATAGCACTAGCACATAAGGCAGGGCCTTCAAGGAATGTAGCACAGAGGGAAGTGAAGAGTTGTTTTTGAGTGAAAACAGGTTGGAAATTGTGAGGGTTGACTTGAGCATATTGACTATCCTCCTCTTTAGGGTAGACATCCCATTGTCTAGTAAGGGCATCCAGTTTCCCACCAAGTTTACCCGGTCGGAACTGAATTACAAGGTTGAATTGGAAGAGGAATTCAGACCAGCACACTTGACATTGAGTAAGGATCTTGGTAGTAAAGAAGTATTCAAGGTTCTTATGATCTGTGATGATATCAACAGCTTCCATGGAGCCTTCGAGGTAATGATGCCAATATTTGAAGGCTTCAAAAATGGCTAGGAGCTCTTTATTGTGCATATTATAGTTGAATTCGGTACCATGAAGACTCTGGGACAAGAAGGAGATTGGATGGATCTTGCCATCATCAAGGTAGATGGATAGGATGGCAGCGATAGCATAGTCAGATGCATCAGTTTCCACAACCAGCTGCTGGTCGGGAAGCCAGTGAGTAAGGATAGGTGCATGAGTGAAAGCCTGCTTTAACTCATTGAAAGCAGATAGGCATTTATCATCTATCTATGGAGTACCCTTGCAAGTGAGTTGTGTTAAGGGCAGGACAATCTCACTGTACTCATGAATAAAATAGCAGTAGAAATTAGCAAAGCCAAGAAAGGATTGAATATCCTTAACCTTCCATGGAACTGGCCAGTCAGTGATAGCTTTGACCTTGTCTTCAGACATGCATAAGCCTTCAGGTGAGAGGATGTAAACAAGATATTTGACAGAGTCCTGATGGAACTCGCATTTTGAACCCTTGCAGTAGAGGCCATTGTCTCAAAGTCTGCATAGAACTTCACATACATGTTTTTAGTGCTCCTCAGGATTATCAGAGTATATAAGATTGTCATCCAGGTATACAATGATGGATACATCAAGCATATCACAGAAGATGTTGTTGATGAAGCATTGGAAAGCCACGTGAGCATTGGTGAGTCCAAATGGCATGACACACCATTCAAAGGAGCTGTAGTGGGTCTAAAATGCAGTTTTCTATTTGTCACCCTCAGCTATGCAGATGAGATGGTAGGCATGATGAAGGTCTAGCTTGGTGTAGAGACAAGCAGAATGTGTAGAGTTGAGGAGGTCAGAAATGAGGAGCAGAGGGTAACAGTCTTTTTTTAGAGATTTTATTAAGTCCACAATAATCTACACAGAGTCTAAGTTCACCAGTTTTTTTCTTGACAAACGGTACTGGAGCTCTGTGTGGAGAACGGGAAGGAGTGATGGAACCATTACAGACATTATCATCGATAAACTCATGTAAGGCTTTTAGTTCAGATTTGGAAAGGGAATAAATGGGACCGAGTGGAGGAGTGGAATCTTCCTCAATATTGATCTTGAGGTCATAAAGGCAATGCTCAAGGAGTTTTTCAGAAAAGGAATCACTGAATATCAGTGAATTCATGGTACTCCAGTGGGACATCAGATAAATCAGTGGGAGCTGCAGAGGTAGCCTTAATGAACAAGGAGGGTTGTTCAGGGTCAATGCAAGATTGATGCCACCTCAACATGTCATGTCTCACTTGTCTTTGTTGTCTTTGAAGTTGCCTTTGTTTTGTTTTCCTATATATTCGCACTGTGAGCAGTTCCTTTCCTTACCCTCTCACTCACTGCTCGCAGTCGTACGCGTAGTAAATTTTTCTTTTCATTTCGACCTCCCTGATCCTGGCTAAGCCCAAACGAGATCCTCCACCTCATCACCTGGTCACCGGCAGGTACATTGGAAAAGAAGAATGCCAAGCCCTTCTCGCTACCATTCAGGAACATGGAGATCAAATCAACGCGGATATTCTTTCAACTTCACTCTCATCCTTTCATGTAACATCTCGTCCACTGTCTCCCATTACCACTATGTCCATGCCAACTGCTGACAATTTCGCCAAACTGGCACAGCAGGTGGCAGACCTCACTAAACTGGTCACTTCACAAGCTCAGACCATGAACCCCTCTAATTCGGCTCCCATGGCGCCACAGGCACCAGCCCCCACTATGAACTCTGAGCTTTTCCTGGGGCCTTTGACGTCAAATCCTGCTGCTGGTGCATCACCTTCCATTTTTTCATTATTCCCCAAAGTTGAGGTGACCACTATCACTTCCATCATCCAACACGAACTTCGCGCTTCGGACATCTACAAACTCAACACATGGCATTGTGACAAACCAGAACGGAAAACACTCAAGCTCAATGGCACCAAACTCGAGCTCTCTAACGATGACACAGCACTGAAGGAGTACAAGACCCTCAACTCCATTCTCGATCCCTTGTCTACTTACTTCTCCATCCTAATCATGCACACTCAACCCTCTGGAAAGTCCGCCCTCCTGGCTGTTCAATTATTTCGCTACAATGCCCATCTCTCCAGAATTGCATCAGAATACAAGTGGCATGCTGTTGTATCATATCACATGGCCTTTTTCACTAAGCGCCGAAGGGAGATGATCGATGGAGAAAATGGTGGATGGGGCAGGATAGACCTGGAATTGTGTGGCGAGCATCTGTTCCCACATTGGAAGATCAAAGCAAGTTCTTTGCTCACCACCAAGAAGGCCCTCTCAAGTGTTGACCGTTCTGCTCCCTGTCACAACTTTAATCTTGGCAAATGCACAGGGGACAAGTGTCTCTGGGACCATCCCCATCTCTGCACTGTCTGCAACAAGACAGACCATAGCGCTCACAACCACCCCAAAACAGCTTAGGAAGTGGGACGGGCGAGCAGCTCATCACACACTTCTCACCTGGATCTGCTTCCTGGTGAGGTTTCTTCTTAGGTTCCAGATTATATGCTCTCAAATCCTCTCCTGCATCATGATACATTTCTGACACTTTGTTCGCCTCCTCCATGCCCCAATATCGATCCCCATGCTAATCTCCCCCCGTCCTCTTCGTCACCTTTACCTACTGTCACTTCTTCTCTGAATGCAGCTGCATGGTCCTTTCATTTGAAGGATTATCCAGACCGCTTGTTTGTAGACACCATAATACATGTTATTAACCATGGTGCAAACATTGGATACCATGACGATCACTGCCATTCACAGTCGTGCTCAAATCTCTGCTCCGCAACTGAAAATTCCACTGCTGTTACTGCCGATATCAACGCTCAAGTCACTGCTGGTCATACCCAAGTGTTAGCCACTAACTCGAATTGGCTTAGATCAGACAAGGATCGCTACTCGCACTTCGGTAGACGATACAATGGCAGTCAAAGGCGATGAAACGGAGTCAGGAGCGAACTTAGATAGTCGCGAAACACGGAGTTCGACGTTAGGTAGAATAAACCTTAGCCGAAGCTGGGGTTTAGACCAGCTGAGGCTCTACTTAAATACACGGTGCGTAGCCTAAGAATAGTACTGTGAGAATGTCCGATCAGAACCGCAGCATAGAGTAAGCCTGATTGCGTAAGAAAAAGGAAAAGAAAAGAATAAACCATAACATTACCCCCCTCTTAAGACTTGTTCATCCCAAATGAGTCCTCAGTCTCTCCTCCGCTTTGTTGTGACTGGCTGTAGAACGACATCGCACTGTCATCATCGTTGTCATCATCTTCGCTATCGAAATCCCAGTTTTCGTAGATCCGTTGTAAGTTGTCGAGATCTAGTTCGGAGTCTTCGTCGTCCGATGTTTCCTCCTCCAACGATATTTCCGGTGCTTCCTCCGCGATAATTTCCTGCAAAGCTATTGACGATTGCGAGTCGGAGTGTCGTGGGTTCGTGCATTCCGAGGAGTAGACGGTTTCGATATCGGTGACGCACGGTGTTTCAGGATCGTGGTAGACCATTCCCATGCCTAGGGGAATCTTGTCGTCTCTTCCGACTGTCTTTCCGTGTTTGTCAACCTCCCAATGAATCCTTTGGAGGTGGGCTTCGTACTCGTTTACGAGTTTTTCCACATTGGCCATGTCCGATCGTTTAACCCAGGAGTTTTCCTCCCTTGGGTATCCTTTCCACTTTACGAGGTATTCGGTTATGGTATGTCGGGTTCGTCCATGACCGATGACTTTGTCTCATTGTTCTACAATTTCCTCAATCTCGTACTCCTCTTCGTCGTCGATTAACTCTGGAGGTGGCCGCTCGGGACGTGGTTGATTTGGAAAAGCAGGGGCCACGTAAGGGGTTAGGAGTGATTCGTTAAAGCGGTTATGAATTCTCCATTTGATCGGTAATTTTAGCTCATACGCTGAGGCTCCTTTCTTCGCGATGATGGTGAAGGGTCCAATACGACGGTCCCCAAGTTTCTTGGAGGGACGAGGGAGGCTTAGGTTGGTTGTGTCTAACCACACCTTGTCTCCTGGCTGATACTCTATCGCCTGGTCCTTGCGTTTGTCGTACGCCTTTTTCATTGACTCCGCTGCCTTTTCCAAGGAGACTTTCGTCTCCTCCTGCGCCTTCTCGATCTCTGCTACCAGCTTCGCCGCCGCAGGAACTATTGTCGGCTTTCGTGCCGTGGTGATGACCTGTCCATCCCTTCCAAACACCACTTTGTACGGTGAGTACCCCATGGACGAGTGTTGGCGATTGTTGTGGGTGAAGGCTGCTAAGGGTAGCCATTCACTCCAATCGTCCTGTCGGTCGTTGACGAACATCTTCAGGTATTTCTCAATTTCTTGGTTGACTCTTTCTGTCTGTCCATCCGTTTGTGGGTGATATGCAGTTGAGGGGTTTCCTTGGACATGAATGAGAGTGTAAAACTCCTTCATGAACTTGGACACGAAGACCGAGCCACGGTCTGAGATGACTTTTTCTGGCATTACTCCGTAAGGTACGTAGACGTAGTCCCTTAGGATCTTGGTGAAGCCGAGCGAAGTGAGCTCTTCCGTACACGTGATAGGAATAATGGTTTTAGAGAAGCGGTCGACAATAACCAGAATGGAGTCGAAGCCTTTGGAATTCGGCAGTTTGGTGATCATATCCACCGAAATGTGGGTCCAAGGACGAACTGGAACCTTGTTGGGGTGCAAGGGAGCCTTCTTTGGGCGATGATCCGCCTTGGTTCGTTGGCAGACGTCACACCCCTTTACATATGCTTCTACATCCCGACGCATCCTCGGCCACCAATAATCGCGAAGTACCAACTCTTTGGTTTTTTCGATGCCAGGGTGGCCAGCGGTAACGTGGTCATGTCTGAGAGCTATGATCTGTCCTCGAAGATGGTTGTCTATCGGTACATAGATCCGCCCGTCATACCATAATAGATCTTGGTTGCGAGAAACGCCCTTTTCGTGGTTTAGGGAGTCGGAGATTCCTCTGTCCCAGCGGCGAGGGTCATGCGTTATCACCTTGATCCGTTCATGCAGCTCCTCGGCAGTGGGCATTATTAGGGCCCTAAAGTGCTCTGCTTTGAGTATCACTACGTCTCGATTGTCCTCTTTGCCTTGGTCGTGGTCCACCCTTCTCGACAATAAGTCCGCTTTACGATTTTGGGCCCCGGGCTTATGATGCAGGGTGAATTGATATTCTGCCAGCTCCGTTACCCACCGCGCTTGTCGTCGGTTAAGTTTCTGGGGTTTGCAGAAATACTGGAGATTGGAATGGTCCGTCCAAATCTCGAAATCCTCTTTTGCTCCCATGAGGTACTGGCGCCACTCTTCTAAAGTGATCATAATCGCCAGGAGCTCTTTGTCATAGATCTCGTAGTTGCGTTCGGTGACAGAGAGCGCCTTGGAGAGAAAGGCTACCGGTCGCCATTTCTCATTTTGCCATTGGGAGAGTACTGCCCCGATCGCTCCCTCGCTAGAGTCTGCCTCCACTCGAAACCGCCCTTCGTCTAAGGGGATAGCAAGTACTACGTCTTCGCAGAATAATTCTTTGAGCTTGTCGAACGCCTTCTGCTGGGCCTCTCCCCATCCCCACTCCTGCTTTCCAGTAAGGGAAGTGAGCGGTTTTACATGCTTACTGTAGTCTCAGATGAACCGTCGGTAAAAGTTGCAGAATCCGAGGAAGGATTGCAGCTCTTGTTTCCTCTGGGGAACTGGCCAATCTAGCAGACCTGCGATCTTGACGGGATCCATGCGAATCCTCCCTTCGCTGATGATTACCCCTAAGTACTCCATTTCTTCAACCTCGAACTCGCACTTCTCCACCTTGAGGAACAACTTGTTCTCTTGCAGTATTTGGAGAACCTTTCGTACAATCCGCTTATGTTCCGCCTTGATCTTGGAAGCAATCAGAATGTCGTCCAAATATACCGACACTTCTCCTGCCGCTATTAAGTCCTTGAAGATGTCGTTCATCATCCACTGGAACGTCGCAGGGGAGTTGGTGAGTCCAAAGAACATTACCAGGGGTTCGTAGAGCCCTCGGTTGGTTCGAAAAGCGGCCTTCCACTCATCTCCCTGTTTGATCCTTACGTTGTTGTACCCCCACCGTACGTCCAACTTGGTGAAGTACTTCGCTTTTTTCAGACGATCCATAAGCTCCCCAATAAGCGGTAACGGGTACCGATTCTTGATGGTCATCTCATTGAGCTTCTGATAGTCCTGGACTGGTCGGAGCTTTCCATCCTTCTTTTTTACGAAGAAGAAGGGTGAGGCCATGGGGGACTTGGACGCCTGAATATGCCCCGTGGACAGATTTTCATCCAAAAACTTATCTAACTCCTCCTGCTCGGTCGGATTGAGGGGGTACACCTTGCAATCAAGGTTGGCATTAGCGTTGGGGATTAGTTCGATGGCATGATCCCAAGGTTTTCGTGGGGGCAATTCGTCGAAGTTCTCCTTGTCGAAAATGTCCTTGAAGTCGCGATACTCCTCTGGTACAACCTCTTCAAAAGACTTGGTCACCTTTTTCGCGTTAGCCTGGGCCGCCAATTCATTGGCCTTGGTGCCCATGGCTTGCACGTGGAAGGCTTCTTCGAAGTCTATGACCAGAATGGTATCTCCCTCCTCATACTCTTCCCATCGTGCCGAGGGGTCGGTGTCGGGAAGAGAGAACGGGATCTTCCTGCACATGCATCGGGCCAAGGTAACCGCCCCAGTGTCCCAATCAATGAGCGGGTTATGACGTTGTAGCCAGTCATGCCCAAGGAACAGGGGGGTGGAGCCTAGATCGACTACGGCTAGTTTGATCCGCTCTACGTGGTCTCCTATACGCAGCCGTACTTCGGCATATTCGGTTATGTCCCCTCCTTTGTTGCGGGTGCCGTCGGCATTATAGACCGGGACGGGTCGTGCCGCCTTTTTAAGGTTGAGGTCATGCTCGTGGGCCCAGGTGCGGTCGATGGAACTGCCGGTGGCCCCACTATCTACTAAGGCACTTAGGGCGTGGATTTCCCTCGTGTCCAGGGTCTCTAATTGTAGCTTTATTGACACATTCCGCCCCTTCCTCCCGCGTATATACATTGGTGGTTTCTGTAAATCCTCCATCCATTGCCACTTCTCCCTAGCTTGGGCGGCGGTCTCCGTCTGCTCCTCCAACTGGTGGCACAATCGGTCGGTGACTTCCTCGCGACGACGAGAATGTACCCATCCGTTAAGAACGGCTCTCGCCGCTGCGTCCCCCCGGGCAATGCGTAGCGCGCGGCGGGTCCAGAGTATCCCGTGAGGTTCGTAATACATATCCGGGATAATCTTCTTGTCGGTGGGAGTCGCGGAAAGAGAAACCGTGGGTGAAGAAGGCCGTTTGGGGGTCACGACCGGAATGTTGGACCGTAAATGGGCTTCTTCATCTTCGACCTCTTCCAACGAAACCGAATGGGTCTT